ATGGCAAATTTCGATGTTGAGTCATTGTTCACTAATGTTCCCCTTCATGAAACCATAGATTTAATAGTCAACAATAGAAGATAACTTAAAAAAAAAAAAAAAAAAAAAAAATTGCAGCCCATTACTCGGTTTTTACGCATGATGATTATTTATACAGTCAAGCAGACGGTGTAGTGATGGGTTCCCCATTAGGCCCTTCCTACGCAAATTCATTCCTTTGCTATCACGAACAGAACTGGCTCGAACAATGCCCGCCTGAATTTAAACCCGTTCATTATGGTCGATACATCGATGATACCTTTCTCCTTTTTAAACACCCCTCACACGTAATCCTTTTTCTAAACTATCTAAACTCGAAACACCTGAGCATCATGTTTACCTGTGAGATGCAGGAAAACAATCAATTACCATTTTTGGACACGCTAATCACCTATAACAATGGCACCTTCCATACAAGCATTTACCGAAAGCCAACCTTCACTGGCCTCGGACTTCACTTCCTTAGCTACATTTCATATTTATACAAAATTAACAGCATTAAAGCTCTAATGACTCGGGCATATAACCTGTGTAGCAACTGGTCAAATTTTCATGACGAAATGAACTTTCTGAAATAATTCTTTACAAATAATGGGTACGCATTACCGTACAACCGTACATGAGTAGTTGAAGTTTTGAATCAGAAAGCAACTAAAATTACTGCTGCTAAATAATTACCCTCAAATTAAATTAACTTTTATTTTCACCAACTCTAACACTATAACCAAATCTTTAAAACCTTTGAGACGTAACTCTGACATGTATTCTAAAGTAGTGTACTTATTTACCTGTCCTTGCTGCCAAGCTCAGTACGTGGGATCTACCCCACGATGGTTACGACACCGCATCCTAAAACACTCTATAGTCCACTCACAGCCTTTCTCCAACACAGATTTCAGTATTTTATCTTCCCATTCCTCCCGTTCTGACCTTATCATCTCGGAACACTTATACATCCAGAAGATGAAACCCGAACTGAACATTATAGTTATTATAGTTTGTTTCTTTTTTCGTTGTATATGTTATGTCATTCCATTTATATGTTTATATTGCATGTCGTTCTTTTTTCATGTTTTCATTACTTCATTGTATATATTATTCTCATTTCACGTATTTGTAAGTTGTCTTTGAATCTAAAATGCGTATCAATTATTGTCTAACTGATTTTTTAGTGGTTCTTTTGACAGTTTTACTGATGATGGTGGTATAGTTTATACCTTCGAAACGTCTACAATAAAGATGAAATTCTTCACGAGTGTATTAGTCTACCTCTTCATACTCACAATACGACGCCTGAGTGGCAAACCAATCACAGAATATATATATATATATATAACAAATATAGTAACGTGTACATAAAGATGAAAGGAAAACAGCCACAGTAAGAAATCATAATGAATCGTAACGTTTCGAACTCTTCACGAGTTCCTCTTTAGACGAATAATAAACTGAAATGGACACATCCATTTCGGCTTATTATTCGTCTGAAAAGGAACTCGTGAAGAGTTCGAAACGTTACGATTCATATTCATTTCTAGCTGTGTCTGTTTTCCTTTCATACATATATATTCATTTATATATGTATATGTATATATATATTTTTTGTATATATATGTATATATATGTATGTATGTATATATATGTTTGTATATATATACATATATATGTATGTATGTATATATATATGTATATATATATGTGTGTGTGTGTGTATATATTCATCTATATATATATATATATGTATACATATATATATATATATATATATATATATATATATATATGTATATATATATGTATATATATTCATCTATATATATATGTATATATATTCATTTATATATATATATAAATGTATATATATTTATATACATATGTACACACACACACGCATATATATATAGATATCTGTGCACGCCTGCGCGTGTGTATTCATGTGTGTGTGTGCGTATGCGTATGTGTGAGCAATGTGCCTTGTCTGTATTATTTCTTAGCCAAAAACATTCATGAGATCCTAGGACAAATAAGATATACTTGAATATATTTCTTTATATATTGCATTAACCCATTGACGTCGGGGGAAAAAAATGGGGAAAATGCTGTACTCATTTTGATTTTTGTGAAATGTCTCTGCACATAGATGGCTCTGCTAGTGCTTAGCCAATTAGTAGATCTTGTGACCTTACCTGATTTCTGCTTTCCTTGAATTGGCGGGAAAAACTTATTTTTTACCAGTGCTATGAATACCGATGATGTTATTTTTATTATAAATATAATTACTATAATGTTACAAACATTAGTAACAACAAAATAAAATAACGGAAAATATTTTCGTTAATCAATGAAAAGGATGAACGGGCGAGACAGGCAGTGCTCGTAATTGGCTCATTGGTGACTTAGTACAAGTGTAGCCATCTTTGTGTAAAAACAATTAAAACAAGTAAACTCACAGTGGGAATGGCATGTGCGTACATGCCATGCCCGTCGGCAATGGGTTAGGAGAAAACAGGATCATAAGAAATATAAAAATATCTCAACAGAAAAAACACTCCTAAATAAACTTTAACGTTCCTCCAACCTTCTTTCCGGGTACTTACAACGAATAAAGGTCCATAGGAGACACTTCCCTCCACGCGAAGATCCTCCTTCGCTGTGAGCAGAACCAACACTGGCCGCGACTGACAATTGTGCTGTGGCTTCGCCCTTTGTCGCTAGTCGTCTCAGTGACTGTTCTCCTTCTGTATCACTGCTTTTGTCTGGCATACTGTTGGACCGTATATATGTATAAGTGCACACACACACACACACACACACACACACACACACACACACACACACACACACACACACACACATATATATGTATATGTGCGTGTATCTGTATATGTATACATATACATACATACATATATATGTATGTGTATATATACATATACATATACTTGCGTACATACATATATATGTATATGTATATGTGCATATACATATACATAAATATATATGTGCATACACACACACACACATATATTATTTATTTACTTATTCATACTTATAATAGGATAACAAGATAGATATTAGATATCAACATTCGAAAAATGCAAATAATGGTAATTCCTAAAACCGGATATAGTACAGAATACAGAGAATAACTGTCGCCTTAGAGTCAGGTGTGCTACTCTACAATGAGGCTTATGTTGTGTGTGTATAAGATCGTAATTTGCTGTGCAGTCACGATGAGGAGGTTATAAGACGATACTTGTCTTGTTGATGATGCAGTTTGATGCATTTAAGTATTTTGTTGTCGGGGCGAAAGTAGACAACAAAGAAACTTAGGAAATGAAGCTGCACTAAAAATAACCCTCGGTAAGATTACTGATCACACTACATGCTGACATTTTAAGCTATCAGTTGTGCCTTCTTCACTAGCTAATTATGCTGAGTCATAACTTTACCCATTATCCACTTTGTTGTGTAAGTACTATATCCTAACGATTAAACAGCGCTATGCAGGGAATATCAGAGGAAAATATTAACTTTATTTCAGACATTAGCCTTGTTTTTCATGAAATATAAATGTTTTTAACTGCTCAGGTAAGATGTATAGGCTACACTGTTAATATTAGAGTATTAGGCATTTGGGTGTTTGATATATGCATATATATATATATACATATATATATATATATATATATATGTATGTATATATATATATGTATATATATATATATATATATATATATATATATATATATATATATATGCGCATACACATACAGACGCACAGACACATATATATGTAAACATGTTACAGTCAAAGTGTGTAACAATCCATTTCGTGTAGTGGCTGAAAATTCCAGCGATA